GCCTGGAGAGACCAGAGCACCTGGGAGAAGAGGCAGTGGGCAGAAACTCCGATCTCTCCCAACTTCCCTTCTCACCACCATCGGGGCTGTAATAAAATGTAAATACAGGTGCCATCAAACCGAGCCAAGCCCCAGAAGTGTGGAGCCTGGGCCCAGGCAAGCACAAAAACTAGGCTGAAGTTTTACTATTTGTGCAGGAACCATGTGGCACAGGGACGGGAAAGTAGAGTCAGGGGATGGGGCTAGGGCTGCTCTCAGCACTTCCCTGCAGGAAATGCTGGTGGAGTTTGCAGCTCCTTGGCTGGGGGCAGCAGGATGGAAACTCTCTGGGAGGTTTTGCTGCTGGGAGAACATAGTTTGTGCCTGTCAAGAGCGCAGGGAGCCCTGGACAGTCTGGGGCAAGAGGGACTTTCCAGGGGGACTTCACGGTTCTCTATTTCTTCCAGCCCTTCCCCTCCCTACGTGTTTGTGCCTGGGGCTAGCAGACCTTGGGACAGTGCTTGTGCTGCAGGGGCACAGAGCTCTCCGCACAGCACCAAGAAGGCCTGTTTGCTCCCTGGTCCTGCACCATGTCAGAGGGCCGCAGGCACGGGGATGACCCCACTACCCGCTGCCCATAGGTGCAGGTGAGGTGCTGGCAGCTGGAGCACCTGAGGCATAATACCATGCTGGCACTCTGAGACTGAGTCCATTGGCACCCAGCCACCAAAACCCTAGGGCTGAGCTGCCAGGGAGAGGGCCAGGGCCCTTCACAGTGGCCACGTGCCCCCCAAACTGGAGCACACTTTCTGGGGTCTGCCCTGGCAGTGTGGGGGACATCCCATCCGTGGAGCTCCAGGCCATGTTCCCTCACCCAGGCAAAGCCTGCCTTGACACCTCTCTTGTGGTGTGCCCCCCCCGCCGGCCTTCGCTCTTACCTGTGCAGTGCTGCCACGTTGTGCCCCCCCAGATGAAGCCTCCATCAGTGGCCCAGTGGAGGAGGGTAAACCAGAGCAGCAACGGAGCCGACATTGGGGGGCTGGCTTCAGGGCGTCCATCCACTGGGACCCCCCTGATGTCCACTTCTCTGCACACAGGCAGGTGCTGCTTAGCTCAGTCCTCCTGGGAGCTCTTGCATAGTCTGCTGGTGGCACCACCTCCTCAGAGATGTGCCACGTCGGGCTGCTTCTTTGTTGCTTCTGGGGTGCTAAGCCCTGGCTCTGCCATCCCCTTGTGTGAGCATCGCACCTGGGGACAC